TGTGTGTGTGTGTGTGTGTGTGTGTGTGTGTGTGTGTGTGTGTGTGTGTGTGTGTGTGTCCTGTGGTTTCTCTCAGGCTCCTCGCTGCCACACACAGACCTTAAGCCAGTGGGACGTAATAGTGATGCTAATAGAGTCAACAGCCAACCTCATGTGTGATGGACTTGGATCACACTGAACTAGTGGGAAGAGAAAAACACCAATCAGCCTTTCCTTTGTGGCCAGAGAGTGTTTTGGTTGAATCTTTCTGCTCCGAGGCCACTGACCTCCCAGAATCCTGTGGTTTCGTTGGCCTGTGCTGCTCTCAGCTTCTCACTGTCTCAATAGAGATCCAGACTTCCCACATTGTGCCTGTTTACAATATCTCCTCTTTCCCCCTCTGTCCTCTTGTTTAAGTTTTTCTCTTTCTTCTATTTGTCTTTTTATTTTATAGCCTTCTCCCCGGGGCTCCAGAATGAATTGAAACCATGATGGATCGAAAATAATGCACTATTTTTGCATGCACTTCAGTACCTCATCCACTTTGACTCATCCAGTTAATTATGTTAAAAGCTGAATAAACACTATGCGACTTTCAAAGTCGTGAGATCACTGTGCGGTTCACATTGAATGACTCGCTGCCCTGTCGTTCATAGTGATGATACACTACATGATCTTTCAGGGAAAAATAACCACACTATCTTGACTCACGAAAATACGCGAGAAGAGACACGACGAGTCTGACTGATGCTCCTGCTCTTCTGCGTCATCGTGCCAATACATCAAGCTGGAGTTGAAACAGTTCAGTGGACGTCACAGTTGTCAAAAAAAGAGAGATTCTGGCAGCATTGTTTTGTCTGAAACGGAGCCCAACCTGACAGACATTCTGTTTTTTTTTTTTTGTTTTGTTGTCGGTCCGAACGCAACCGAAGCCCAATGCGCTCTTGCTTGATTTCACTGATTATACCATCCATGTGTGCGAATATCCACTCCTTGACATGTTGGTACCTGAGTCATGGTACAGCAACAGAGTAGAGTTGAGAAAAGTTTTGACTTCAACGTGCATATGTGTGTGTGTGTGTGTGTGTGTGTGTGTGTCCTCTCAGGCCCTGTTGCCCATGGGATGGTTGAACCGTGTCTACACAATCCAATGTGTCAGGGAACAAATTGGAAATGCCAATTTCACTTTACCCTGCTCTGTATCTTATCTCTCCCTTACCCTCATCCCACCACTTAGCTCATGTGTAAATGAATAAGGTCCTTTCACACGTCTACCAGCGTCCGATTTCTGTCTGCTTCCACCGTTCAGGCCTCTCCTCCTCCACCTCTCCTCCACGCTCTCCCGTCTTCTCTTCTCCTCATCTTCTCCTTTCCCCATTTTCCTCTTGTCACCTATCCGGTCCTATCTCCCACAATCCTCCTCTTCCCCTGTTTCCATTCACTCATGCCCACTCAACTGTAACCTATCTGTTATTTCTCTGTGTGTATTTATGAAATATGTCTGTTTTGGTGAATATGGATTTATCGTGTTGCTGTCTGCAATGACCTAGCCGCAGCGAATGACTATGCAAATGAAACAATATCTCATACACTTCTCAATTTAAGTATAAATCAAGAGTTTCACACTGCCTCCTTGTCTCTGTGTTTCTCCGCCTCTCTCAGTACGACTACGAGGGCGGCGACATCGGTGACCTGCCGGTCGACCTCTCCGTGGTGTGGAATGGAAACTTCGTCATTGACAATCCGTTCAACATTCAAGGTACAACATTTTTGTTGCTGCTTGTTTATCTGTCTGTAATGATTCCCTGGGAAGCAGACAAACACTATGTGCGGTTTTCTCTCCGCCTTCATGAGAAATCTGTAATTTCATTTTTTGACAGGCATCAGTGAGAAAGGTGAAAGTGTACCGCTGGTTTGGAAAAACACTATTCTTGTGTTGGGGATAAAAGGGGGGGCAGGGGGAGTGATTGATGGATACCAATGATAAACAAACACCCAACACAGAAATTAATAGGGATGGATGTTGGAAAGGAAGATAAACAAATGTAGAGAGCGATAGGCAGAAGAAAGGATGAAGAAGGAGAAAGATGTGGATGACAGGATGATAAATGCACTGTGTAATGGCGATGGGGGTGGTGGGGTGTAGATGAGAATAAAGGCATTGATAAAGAAAAACAGAAAGCGACATGGAGGGATGGCATTTATTATTTTTAATCGCTCTTTGTGCATAAAGTGGAAAACAATTACCGATTCTAAATTCTTTATCAAGTGTAATATATTGGGTGGCGGAGGCTAATGATTTCAGACGTCCCATTACACAAGATAATATAAGTCTTGCTCTCAAGTGTGTCATGAAGTCTTTTGCTGTGAATTTGCACAACCAGAGTCAGATTAACTAACCCTTCCCACTCTATTCTCTACTTCTTCTTCTTTCAACACCATTCACTATTCAGTCTCAGCCTTAAAAGGACAGACATGCACATTTTAATCTTACATCCTTTGTGTTGTATCTGACCTCATTTTGATAAATGTCACACGCACAGTTCATTTCGCAGATTGCTTGGAAATTAGTTGCTTATCGGTCGTGACCTAATTCGTCTGCCAGTGTAATTCTGTTTAAAATATGCTCCCTGAAGCTCTTCTGTCAGTCTGCGATGAGAGATTCTCTCTGGGGATCAAACAATCTGTGTTTTAACATGTGCTGAGGAGTGCTGTCGCTGTCACAACAACATAAATAACCCCTTTTTCTGTACAATCAAGTAGATGGATTTGGTGACTGTTCTGAATCAGTATTCACTATTTAACAAAGGCTGATCTTTGGTGAATTATTCATTCAGCACTTGTATCTGCGTTTATTTAATGAGTCGAGTCATTATTCACACAGTGGTTTAACATTTATGTCTTTAATGGAATGTTTTAGCCAGAAACTTATTCAGATATAATGTTTCCTCGTATCAAGCATTTATTCATTGAGGTTGAGTGAATGATGTTAAATTACTTCCAGTGTGTTTGCTTTCTCTGTTTTGGTTCATGAACGTTTCAAACTTTCAAGTGGGCAGAAACTTCTTCACAAACTTTTTCTTGTGTTCTGATGAAGTTTAGTTAATTGTTGTGTGCTGATGAGGTTTAGTTAAATGTTGTGCGCTGATGAAGTTTAGTTAATTGTTGTGTGCTGATGAAGTT